ACGTCTACTAAATAGTAGGTATCGTCTATGGCTGGTGCTTGTAAGAACTTGGTGAGAGTGAACTCTATCTTTTCTTCTCCTACTTCGAATGTTAGCCTTCCTTTCTTCACGTCTATAATAGCTCCGGCTGTAGCTAGGAACGGTTTTCCTAGGATAATTGGGGTAACAGAGTCCTCTTTGATGTCCATGATTATGAAGTCGGTTGGGATGTAGAATTGTCCTATGCGTACTGGAACGTTTTCCAGTATTCTGACGGGATATTTTACTGATCGGTCAGCTAATTGTACGAACATTTTGGTTGGTCTTAGGTCTCCCATATTCAGTTTTTTGCATATAGATAAAGGCATAACACTGATGCTGACTCCTAAATCGCATAGAGCTTTGCCTATTACGAACTTTCCTATGACGCAGGGTATGGAGAAACTACCTGGGTCTTTTAATTTAGGAGGCATGCGGTTTTGAATAATAGCACTACACTCTGCAGTGAGTGTAACTGTTTCGTTATCCTCGATCTTTCTCTTATTTGACAGAATTTCTTTGAGAAATTTAGCGTATGACGGCATTTGAGTTATCGCTTCTGTAAAAGGAATAGTGATATTCAATTGTTTAAGGAGCTTTACAAATTTCTTAAACTGTCCCGAAGTTTTAGAGTTTATTAATCTTTGAGGATAAGGGATAAGTGGTTTATATGGCGCTGGAGGTGCTTGCGTTTTTTCACTTGCGGTATCCTCCTTCTCGTTGTCTTCCTTCTTCTCTAACTCGGATTCCTTTTCTGCTTGTTCAGTTGGTTTTTGTTGCATGGTTGAGCTTTCGGTCCTCGGATCGATCGGTTCGTCCAATTCTTTTCCACTTCTTAATATGACAGCATTTGCTTGACCTTTTGGATTCTGTTCGGGTTGTCCAGGAAATGTGCCAGCGGGTGCGGCAGCAGAGGCTTGTTGTTGAGCCACTTGTGATACCTGTGTTTCTAACATTTTGTTGTGGGTGGCTAAAACGTCTACTTTTCCGGTCAACTGTTTAATTTGCTCGCTAGTGTGTATGTTTTGATTCAGGAATTCTTTGTTTGTTTGAGCTTGAGTAGCTATGAATTTTTCCATCATCAACTCGAGGTTTGATTTCCTAGGTGCAGTCTGAGCAGCAGCTGGTTTCTGATATCCTGGCGGAGCAGTAGGCATTTGCAATGCATTATCGCTTTTGTAAGAAAAGTTTGGATGATTTTGCCAACTTGGGTTATAGGTATTTGCGTAAGGATTTCCTTGAGCATAATTTACTTGGTCTGGTGGGATTCCGGCTAGCAATGGGCATTCGGGCGCATTATGAGTGGTGCTTCCGCATAACTCACAGTTTGGAGTTACGGCAGCGGCGGTTGCAGTGGGGTTAACGGTCAGACTGTCAATCTTCTGTGCTAGAGCATCTACTTTAGCGTTGAACTTTTCAAGGCTGCTAATCTCGTACATCCCACCTTTCGCTGCAGGTTTCTCTGTTGGAGTGCGTTCACCTCCCCATTGGTAGTGGTTCTGAGACATGTTTTCGATTAGTTGATAGGCTTCGTCGTATGGCTTATCCATAAGTGCACCGCCCGCGGCGGCATCTACCGTCAATCTGGTGTTGTACAAAAGCCCATTATAGAAAGTATGGATTGTCACCCAGTCTTCTAGACCGTGGTGAGGACATGTTCTCATCATATCTTTGAATCGTTCCCATGCTTCGTAAAGAGATTCAGTATCTTTTTGTCAAAATCCGTTGATTTGAGCTCTAAGCATAGCAGTCTTGCTTGGCGGAAAATATCTCGCTAAGAAGACGTTCTTCAACTGTTCCCACGTCGTAACGGAGTTGGATGGTAAGGATTGTAACCATGTCCACGCTCTGTCTCTAAGAGAGAAAGGGAAAAGACGAAGTCTTATTGCGTCTGGAGTTACTCCATTTGCTTTCACTGTGTCTGCGTATTGTACAAACTTCGTTAAATGTTCATTTGGGTCCTCAGTTGCATTTCCAGAGAATTGGTTTTGTTGTACAGCTGACAGCAATGAGGGTTTCAGCTCAAAATCGTTTTGCGTAATAGCTGGGGCAGCAATGCTACTTCTAGGCTCCATCTGAGAGGGTGTAGCGTATGCCTTCAGCGGTTTGTTTTGGGGTCCTTCAGCCATTTTTGATTCTTCTTCTGATTTGGGAATGGGAGTGAGAGGATCGGGAATGTTATGTTTTAGTTGGTACTCAATGATGCGACTTCTTAAATGTAAGAAGCGCTCTAGTTCTGCGACTGAGGGTTTTAAGATATCGCCTTGTGGGCGATTACTTGGCATACAATCGACAGCACTAGTAAAGGAAAAATGAAATTGTTAACCTAGTCTATACGGCGTAACAAAAGGTTACACTATTGACTAAACGGGTCCCCGGCAACGGCGCCAAAAACTTGATCGCGACTTTCTATGTCTAATACAACTTAACTGCAAGTGCACAGTCTATCGCGTAGTAATAAAAGATATCGATCCCACAGGGACTCGTAATCAAACTAGTGTTCTCGGGAGTTACTATGTTTAGCTAGGTAGATGATGTTTAAGGGAATACTTTTTGTCACTAAAGGAAACTAAAAATGTTACTTGGATTATAATTACGTGAATCGATATGCAGTAATTATGTTCTTCGGGGATTTGACAAGTTACCGGTATATGAAATATTTTTCAGAATTTATTTAAGCAGAAAATAGTGATCTGAAGACTTTCGTCTCACGATGGTTGTTGACGCTAGTCATAATTCTAAGGGCCAAATGTACGCTTTCGTGTCCCATTCGGGGTTAAAACTATTTTTTGGAAATCTCTAAGTTCTAATTCATTTTAAAGTGCTTTCGCTGTTATTAAAACAAATGACTAGTGTTTACTATCTGGTCTTACCGCAGTTGTCGCTTGTTGGTTCGTACCTTAATTAATTTCCCACTGTCGTGGCAAAACTACTTTTAAATAAGTTCTCGCTTTCGCGACGAAATTTATTCAGTAAATAAGTTTAAACACTCAGACCATAAACAACATTTGAAAAAGAGAGTTTTCAACCGGTTATTATCAAACCCCGTCTGAATTATTATTACATATCGATTACTCTGATTTAGCTAGACATGGATTTGGGAAAGGTAAAACATAAATAAAAACAGTGAATGATAACATGCATCATAATGAAAACTGAAATTACGATTAAAATTTAGAACCTGTAAATATTCCAATTGGCCTTTGGGCAGATCCTCCACAAATGTTGGCAGAATTCTGGTCTTTGTGCCAATTGATCGTACAAGGGAAATGAGAATTACAGAATATCAAAAAAATGCAGAAAAAGAAAAGAGAAACAAATAAGAATAAAATAATGGAAAGGTTGCTCTGAAGATAAATTGGCAGCACTTCGTTGTCTGAATGCGGCTCCCTTTCTCAGCTCGCCTCCTTCCCCTTTTATAGAAATAGAATTCTAACGGTTGTAATTTGAAGAAGGTGGACTTAGAGGCAGAAATATCAGGGAGTAGTGGTCCACTATTTGGGACTTGGAACTGTATTTTGCACGTTCATTTGAAGTTGGGCGTTTTTGCCTGCATGACGGTCGTCACGGTGTGTGACGGTCGTCACCCGTGTGACGGTCGTCATGGAGTTGTGAAGGTCGTCACAGCAGCAAAATATGCATTCTGCGTTTTTCATGTTGTTTTCATCCGGTTTTCGTTCGTATTTCATCTGTAATTGCTTCTTTTCTTCACATTGCTTTATTTAGACATGATTATCAAATACCTGCAAAATATCAGACAAATAACATGGAAAGAACCCGAAATCGGATCGAAAACAGTCAAACATCAGTTGAATTATGCATCAATATATATATACGATTTCGTGTTATCATAAAACCTACTACGTGTCTCCAAGGTTTGACTAACTAATGGATTGACTGGAGTGAATCATCCTATTATGTTGGAGATGAGGTTAATCCAACAAATACTTCTATTATTCTTTGAAGGATTTTTGTTCAACTTGCTTATCACATGGCTTGACACGTCCTCCTATAAAAGAAAGTGCGACAAATTTGATCTCATGCTCGCCGTGTGATCTCACCACTTGCTATCCAAGCGCCTCTCACATCATTTACGAGTTGGAGATTTGGTGCGTCAGACCCTTTAGGCCTTTGTCAAAAATATCTCAATCTACTGTCCCTCAAGCACGAAACATGTAAGGAAAAAGTGATTTAAGCTGCGATATCACAATCCACAATATCTCAAGTATAAGGCGTGTAAGGACAAAGTGAGTAAAGTGTATTTAAAGGTGACACCAATTAGAGTGTTTATTTACGTGCATCATCAATTTAATTTTTGATCGTGATATTTTGTGTGAATCAATTTGCGATTTGCAAATGAGCAACTATTAAACTTCAGGATTAGTGATGTATTTTATGCAATAAAATGATTAAAACTGTATTGGAAATGACCCAATAATTTGAGTTGTATGTCCATTTGCATGCTTGTGATATTGGCCCTTGATATTTGCCATAGTAATGATGGCTATGACCCTGACCATAACAAATAAACGTGAAGGAAGATCTCAAAAGTTTGAGGCCTACTTATTTATAGAAATAGTAATCTCAATTTTTATATGCGGCTTAAATACCTTTAAGAAAAAAGAAAAAAACAAATTGAAGAGACTTAAAGCAAGAGTTGTAGCTGTCTTTGCTAACATATTCAGTTCTTTGGATTGTTTGTAGTTCTTTGGCCGAATAATTGGCACCTCATGTGCTAAATATTCGCTTATATGATTGCCTAAAAAAACTTCTGTAACTAAAGCTGAAATATACAGCTATGTTTGTCAAAGCATATTATTCAGAAGTTGTAAGAAATTAAGTAAAAAGCTGCCTCATTTATTTACATTACTATAAGACAGAATGTGCAGATTTAGACATGATAATCTGAAACGGATTCATTTGGTCTAATTCAGTAGTAAAATAAAGTAGATAAAAATAATTTGAAGGGTGATATATATCATTTAATAACCATGGTAGTATCCATGTTTGTTAGGCCTAAGAGATGGTTGATAACCATATTCACCATCACCAATAGTTGATGACACTCCAAGGATGTTATGTGGTCTTTCTTGATTCCATAAGCCAGAGTGAAAATTTACAGGCCACTGCCATTTTGGATATTCATTGATTCTGATAACATTTTCATTTGCTCCATTGTTAAAACTTTCAAAAAACAATGGTGGTGTTGGTGCTGCCAAATGTTGATTAATATCTTGGCCATAGAAGTTTGGAATCATATACTGATTTTCAAAGGAATTACTTGTATCATTCATTATATATTCTTGATTGTTGTCCTCGGCTTTATTCTCATCATCTATGAGTTCTTGGTTGTAATCTTCATTCCAAATTTCTGCATGTTTACCCAATTTGGCTAACTTTTGGACCAAAGTTGAAGGGTTCACAATGCCTGTCACTATTACTTCTTGCTCTTCTGCATTAATGTCTACTCCATAGACACCTGATACACAATGTTTCTATAACTTCTTAAAGATGATGAATATAGAAACTGAAAATATGAGTTAATTTTAAACTTTACCTTCAACTTTTCTAAGTACTTTCTTGACTTTGGCCCTACACCCTTCACAGTTCATATGTACTTTGAGAACAAAAGTCTGTACCTTAAGTATTAACAAATACATCTCAGAAAAACATAAATAAATATATCTATTAAAAGCAAAATGAATAAATAAAAAAAATAGAAGATGCAAGGACCTCAATATTCAATAACTCATGCTCATTTGTTGACATTTTTGGCAATGCTTGCAGCTAGAAAATTAAAAAAAAAATGTCTTCTTTGTTTTATTATTTCTTCTACGATTTATGTTTTGTAGGAACAATGTAGTAGTACTAATACATAAGGTTTGCACTGAAGGTGCTTTAAAGGACAAAGAATATAAAGAGACAAGTGGTTGTGTTTTGGGTTGGTAAATGTATTTTTGACTGAGTTATGAGTTCTGGCCATTTTGTCAGGCAAGGATTTTGTGCATGTACATTAGACAGTAGTTTGATCTTAAGAAATGATTCTGCATAGTGATCATGTGATAGAGTTCAGCACATTTGACACTTTCAAAGTGAGTAGAACACACACTTTATGTTTGCTAAAGAATTATTACCATAGCCAAAATAGCAAATTTGTAACAACAAAAGAGTTACATTTGTGATTGAAATTGTGTGTGCATATGCAGTGGTTTGAATCTATTTTATGGGATAAAATTTGCAATTAGTGTACTAGACTATGTTATTTTTAGATATTCTAATTACGAACATTCTATCTTTCTAACTCGAATATTCTATCTTTCTAACTCTTTTTTCATATTTTACTTCATGATAAGAATGGTAAAAATATAGAAATATGAAGGAGAAGCAAGAACATCCTTTAACTTGGAGTTTTTATAGAATAAGACACAAGCTGTTGAATAAGTAATAGAGTATAAATATTAGGAACATGAAAAGCGTAATAGGAATAATATATACTCTTTAAAGATGAAATTTGGGATGCTGAAGATTTAATGTGAACAATCAAATTTAAGACTTACAAATGGAGTATCATAGAAGAAATTTTAAATTTTAAATTTTAATTTTTATAACTTTTGTAAAGGTTAAGATTGAATTGTAATATCTTTTCTTTGTTTTCCGAATGTTTGTTATATTGGGTGAGAGTAACTCGGATCTAATATATGTCTGTTATAAAAAAGTGTAAACAATCCTTACTAAAATAAAATAAAATAATATATAATAAGTAATATTATCTACTATGTTTTCTCAAACTCACCATGCATTGATAGGGTGCATAGCTAGTTTGTCAAAGAAAATTAAAATATTTAATAGAATGAGTAGTCTAATATAATAAATTAGTATAACTTTTACAAGTATGTATACTCCTCAGTCAATTAAAAAGTTATTAGTATTAAATATATAATTTTTTGTGTTGAATTCGAAATGACGCGTCTTTATTTGACGAGTGTCGAAATGTGATTAAGTATGTATGTTGAAATAGTGAGTTATAGTTTGTGTCGAACAAAATCTTTATTTGTTATATTTGACAGAAAATCAATATAGCCTGTCGAAATAGCAAGTAGTCGAAGCAGTTGTCGAAGGAATCGACAGTGTCAAAACGGTCTGACTTAACTTAATTTTAATTGAGTTAGTTATTTTGTGATTATTTGGAGTGCAAATAATCTCTTCTATAAATAAAGAGGAATTATATTTCATTTGTAACTAAGTGATCATCAAGTGTAATGTGTAGTTTCTGAAATCACAGTTGTGATTAACACACATTATCAAACACTTAGAGTGTAGTTTGCACAACAAGTTTGCATTCTTCTTCCTCCTCCATAATTTCTTTTTTCTCTCACTTTAAATTGCATTGTTTTCTTCTTTCAATTCTCTGTGTACTGTACAATCATCTTGCAACCAATGAGTGGTTGTTTCACCTGAGTAAAGGGCGAAGAACAAGAAGTGTGATAATTCGGTGAGACGGATTCTTGTTCATCAAGGTTAATTCGGTGAACTTCAAAATTGGATTTTTTCCAACATCTCACATCTAGAGTATTGGTTGTGTGATCTTTGGGACATATTGAATTACAATGAATCATCCGAATGAACATTTTTCGGTAAATCTTCCAATTTTAAATGGTAAGAATTATGGAAATTGGTATAGGAAGATGAATGTTGTTTTTTGTTATCAAGATCTTTGGGGTTTTGTGAAGAAACAAGTAACACCAATTGTAGAGAATGCTACTGATAAATAAATGGTTGCGCACAAAGATTTAAAGAAGAAAGATTATAAGGCTCTTTTTATAATCCATCAATGTGTTGATCCAGACAGTTTTAGGAAAGTTGGTGATGTAGATTCAATAAAGGAAGCATGAGACATCCTGGAAAAATCATTTGGAGGTGCTAAGGAAGTGAAGGAGATGAGGTTACAAACTCACAAAAGAATGTGTGAATTGCTTCAAATGGAAGACAATGAAAGTGTGTCTAATTTCTTCACCAGAGTAACAAAATCGGTGAATAAAATCAAAACACGTGGAGAAGTTTTGACATCAAAATTTGTAGTGTCAAAGATTTTGAGGTCATTGTCTCCAAAGTTTGATCATGTGGTAATAGCCATAGAAGAATCAAAGGATTTGTCAAGTATGACAAAAGAAGAACATCAAGGGACTCTATAATCTCACAAACAAAGAATGACTGAAAGAACTGCAAGCAAGTTGAAGACTGATGTGGCTTTGCAAGCTCAGTCGACTAAGAAAGATAAAAGAAAATGGAATGGTAACAAGGGTAGAGGAAGTTACAACAATTCGACTAGTAGAGGAAACCATCAAGAAGGAAGTTCGCCGAATCATAGACAATCTTCTAATCAAGGAAATCACAGATGTGGTGGTGGAGGTAGAGAAAGAGGCGATGGAAGAAAACATGATAAAAGTCGTATTCAATGTTACAATTTTCAAACGTATAATTGTTGTGCGAAAAAATAATTATGGTGTCACACGCAAGTATACATATATATTTTAATTGCAGTAAGTGATATTAGTAAGGATATTGTACCCACAGGGAGTGAAAGAGGTTTAGGTTGAAATTTTGTAAGTATTCTTGTTTGAAAACTAGCATGAGCAAGATAACAAAATAATAGTTGGTAACAAGCTAACTTTGTCCACAACACAAAACTAAATGAAGCAAAAGTAGGGTTGATTAAATCAAGAGAGTGAATGTTGAGCTATGATCCATTAATATGCAAGTAACCAAAATATAGATATGATGAGATGTGTCGTGCCTCAAAAGATCAGAATATGATATATACGTGTATCTCTACAACATCAAAACATGCACTAATAAAGCAAGGGAACAAATCTCTAAGTCTCACTTATAACCCTAAAATACGTTTGGTTTATATTCTGAAAGTTATTTATGGTCTTAGCCTCATATCTCTAAGCAAGCTAATTAAGTGAATATCTCTATCCTACTTGTTTAACCACTTTTATTATGAAATTCGCTTGTTGTTGAATCTCTCACAACAACAAACGTTTACCTTTTTCTAAGTTGATCCTTCAAAGAGCCAAGTTTATAGCATAAAAACACATAACAAAATAAGACACTTAACATCACATCATTTTAACATAAAGGCAATATTATATTAACTTCACATTGCTCAACAAACAAGTGTTTAGGTCATGGTGAGCTGAGTACAAACTACTAAACTGAAACTACTAGGAAACATACTTAATAGTAAACGTAAAATAAATGACAACCTAGAAGTAACTTAGAGATCTCTTGTGTTGGATAAACCGCAAGTGAAGACTCCAGTCGCGCCAACTTTCAACAGTGAGTACAAGACTGGATTAGAAGAAGAACTCTCTCTTTTCTCACTAACCCTTACACTAAAATAAAATAAAATAATACTAGAAACTATCTTCTTGGTGAATGTGTGTGCGAAAATTTTTTCTCCAATTCCTAAGGTCAGCTTTTATAGGCACAAGTGTGGTTGTGAAAGGTAGTAGGCCTTGGATCATGGGCTTTTAATGTAAACAAGGTTCAACCCATATTCAAATCAGCATATTCTCTTTTTGTCCTCTATTTTTCGTGAACAAGAATCCTGCAGTCTGCTGTAGTAGGTAGTGGCGTAGAGGTGCAGGTGGTGCAATATTTGTGTGCAGGTCGTGCTTTTGCAGAGGCGGTCCCCACCGTACTACTTCTTTGTCTCCTTATGCAATTGATCTTATCCTTTTGGTTTTCTTTTTTTTTTAAGCACAAATCTGCCACGCAAGCCTTAGAAAATAGCACACTTCATGCTCTTGGCCGTTTTCTACTTGTGATCTTCAGTAAACCTTTCATTCTCCTTTCAGCTCTCACTCTCAGACACTTCCTAGACCAGGCATGCCTCAGCTTGCCTTAAAACTTCCTTGATATTCATTTACATACACATTAAAACTGCAAAAGGAACACTTATTGTGCTCAAAGCAAGATAAGCTAAAAACAGTAAAACTAAATAAATAAGCACTAAATTCATCACAAAAACATAAATGAAAAGGGATAATAATGACACACTAAAAGTGGATTATCACTCCCCAAAACTTGAACTATCGCCTGCCCTCAAGTGATGCGACATGGAATGACAGGAAATTACTAATCACAACCAAATTAAAACATATGTGTGATGTGACACTCCAAATTTTTAAGAATGATGGACCATTACAAAAATTGGCAAAACTTAGCTTTGCTACTGATTTGAAGTGAATGCATGATTGAGTTTACAAGACTCCTTCAATCGTGTCGATACTCTTCAGTAAAATAAGCTAGCCTAATTATGATTCTAATTGATCAAGCTTGAGCTCCAAGGGTTATCTTTTGGCTTCAAGAGGGGGTTTTGTCTAACTCTTTCTTGACTTCCTTCATGAAATACTCTGGACCACTCTTTCACTTATTACTTTATTCTTTTGCAGAATGTTTCATCTATTCACTAGATGGGATTTCACTTGTAATGAGTCCAGCCTGTTAATGTGATGAAGAAACCGGTTGCTCCTCCAGTTTCAGGCATAGGAACATGTTCCTCTAGTATACTTCAATAAAAGTCAAACTAACTATATCATGCAAATAAAATGACTAAAATTAAAATTAACTTAAAAAAGTGATAAACCCATGCCTTCAAACAGTAAAAACCACATTAAAATCAACAAATCCAAGATAAGGATGAAACCTCATATCCAAGTCAAATAGTAAACTTCACTAAAAGTCAATCATAACAAAAGGAA